TTTTTGTTAGTTTACTAATTTTTTATTAAATTGGAACCAACGGAAAGATTTAATTGAAAAATGAAGTATAAGTGAATGTTTTAGTTATTATGACTAATTTTTTTATTACGGTAATTTGTATATAGATACATTCCGCATGGGGAGAAGTTTGGCATAGTACTTATGCTAGTCAATCCTACATGGCGGGAGAAGTTTTGTGATGACTCATATTTTTGTATGCTGTCCTAGTATTGACCGTGGCGCAATAGAAATGCATCGTCATGGTCAATACTAACCAAAAGATAAGAAAAGATGCAAACGTGACTTGCAAAAGAACTGCTATTGAAAGACCTCGTTGAGTTTTTAAAGTAAAATAAGGAAAGTGTACTCCTAAACGGATGAAGAAATAACTTTGTTTACATGACATAATCATGTGAATGAAGTAGGTTATAATTGTCTCCTCGTTCACATGTTTTCTGAATAGTTCTCAAAATTATGGCAGTAAAGTTCATGCCATATTTTGAGGGGGAGAATATTAAGATCAATTGAGAAAAATACTCTTCATTAAGAGTGAAATAAAGATCAATTAAGAAAGATACTCTTCATTAAGACTGAGATAAAGATTAATTAAGATGAATGCGACTGTTGGAAGAGTACAACGGTCACAACAATGATACCCTTAAGCAGAGAAATAGCTAAATTTCTGTACCTTTTAAAGTTTCGATAGGAAGATAGCGTAGTCAATCTCAAATATGTTAAGGCGGTGCTTAAAGCGTCATATGAGGTTTTAACAGATTAAACTCAAACAAGAAATTTGAAGGTACACTATCTTTTTTAGAAGATGGGATGGTCTGGGGGAGCATAGTATGTAGAGATCTATGACTTGAAGAGAAGCGGGACTGCGTGCCCACTTCAGTGATTCAAAAAAATAAGTTTCTCAATACTTGTTGATGTTGTATGACTTATACAACACCTGTTGTTAGCTCTTCGAAGAAGATGAATAATGTAAACAAAGATCTTGTATTATAGGAGCCTGTAGAATCAATTGCCTCTTGGCAATGAAGAGCAACAACAGCCCCATATGAAAGTGTCAGTAGCTGAGGTCCCAGAAGGTATCAAAGAATTAGTAAACCAGTTTTTCTGATGACTATGAATTCTATGTTAGTGAAGAAATTCAAATGGATGGTGATCCCTCCTCATTTGAAAAAGCCATGAGAAGCGTTTACTCGTTTATATGGCAAGAAGCTATGGAAGTTGAAATAAATTCGATGAATACCAATGATGTTTAAGACTTAGAAGAAAGTCCTAATGGAGCAAAAATAGTAGATTGTAAAAGGGTCTACAACACAAAACATGACTCCAAAGAAAATGTAGAAAGATATAAAGCATGACTTTTAGCAAAATGCTTTACGCAAAGAGAATGAATAGATTACGATGAGAGTTTTCTCTTCAGTCTCATGCAAGGATTCTTTTAGAATCATAATGGTGTTATTGGCACATTACGATTTAGAGTTACATCAGATGGATGTAAAGACAGCATTCCTCAACGGGGATTTATATGAAAACGTTAATATGGCACAACCCAAAGGTTTTGTCGTGGAAGAAGAAAATGTATGGGATGTCGCCTGTAGAAATCAATTTATAGGTTAAAAGTAAGTCTCTAGACAGTAGTATTTAAAGTTGATGAAAACAATAAGAAAGTTTGGGTTTTAAAGAAAATGAGAAGGACAATAGCATTTATGCGAAGTTCAAGAATGGAAAATTTATTTTCCGCATCCTGTGAATAGATGACATTCTACTCACTAGTAGTGATGTTAATATGTCATTAGAGAAGATGTTTTGTCCTCAAGTTTCAATGTGAATGATCTTGGTGAAGCGTCATTGGTTCTAGGAATCAAAATTCACCGAGATAGAAGAAAATGGGGTATTAGGACTATCGCAACGGCATACCCCATCGCCGACCTTATCACCGACACGTCGCGGCCAGCTTGTTGGCGGCGCCCCCACCGCGACTGCCTTTTGGTGAGGTATATCAGCAAGTCCCTTTATCTAAGTTATATTTTTACCCACTGATCTACGCCTAGATGGTCCTATAAACCTATCACCTTGATGTAGGCCTAGAGGCACTTGAGGGCCTCGGTGAGGGGGATAACCGGTTCACCCACGATTGCCTGCAGCGCCGACGACACAGGCTTCGGCTGGGTGATACCAGTCGCCCTCTTCTTCTTCGGGCCGCCTCCGCCGTGGCCGGGGACTTGGACGAGACGACCACCGAGCGGCGCGACAGAACGAAGGAGGCGGCGGCGCGGAGGCGTGGGGCTAGGAGCGAGGAGAAGGAGAGTGACATAGTGGTGAGCATGGAGGCGGCGGCCGCCATTTTGGGCTTGGCTCTGCGGTCGGACCCCTAGGGCTTAGCTTGGGTTCGAATAATGGCGATGGGGATTGGGCAACGAGGGTTTGGGGTTTTGGCCTTTTAGAGTTGGGGTATGTGAAATAGGGGATTTTTAACCTTTTGCCATCCTTATGGATGGCACTCCTTCGTTTGTCAGCTTTGTGCGTGTCCCTACACATTTGCCATCACAACCAGTAACCCTCGTACGTTTTTGCATTTTGCTGAGGTGGCACGCCAACGTGGTAGGGAGCCTGGGAGCCCTAACTTGGCACGTTAAATGACAATGCTGCCCTCACCTCCTTCTTCTGTCTCTAGCCGGCCCAGCCCCGAGTCCAACCTAGTCCACTCCCCCTTCTTCCCCACTCCTAGCGATGGCGACGGCGGCTGTGGCAGACACGGCGGCGGTGGCATCGAGTCTCCTTCCCCTTCCTTGGATGTAGGATGACCATATTAGGTACTGCTCGCACTCCCCTAAACCCTATTTCCCCAGTTGCGTTCCCCAATCTAGGGTTTCGATTTGATTGGTGGTCCATTTGATTGTAGTGACGTTGCGGTAGCCCTTGTTGTTGATCATATGCGTTAAGATGAAGTGGACTGACTGCCCTCCTTGGTAAGTTCGATGTGATGTAGTGTTTGGTGTAGTTTTTGGGACCCCGTAGTGTTTTGGAGTTATGTCTCCTAACTCCATATGTTTCTTTATTTGTTTATGATTATTGTCAGGATTGATCCTAGCAATGCGTTTAAAATCCACGTTAGCGTTGCTAAGTATACATCCATTGTTGATTATTGATCTGTCGAAATGGATGACCAAGAGCATGATGTTTGGATTGATCTTACCAGTCACTGCTCTCTGTCTAAATTTGTGGATGAAATGGCTGGAAAGATCATTTGAGGTAGTGGGAAGCAACTATTTGTTTGGGGTCTAGACAAGGAGAGTGGGATAGAATGGGATGTTACTACTAATGAGCAGTTTAGGGAGATGATAGAAGCTAGATGGGATGAGAAGGAAATGGATGTCAGCTGTGAAGTACTTGACAAGGATAAGGTGTCATCCAGACAGAACAGAGATGCAGCAGCAGGAAATGTGCCAAATGAGCATAGTGTTCATGCCACATCTGGTGTAACAGTAGAGCAAGGAAATGTTGAATGCACAGATGATGCTTGTAGCAGTCTAGAGCATACAAAATCAGATGTTGTTGTTATTGATTGGTCAGCTTTCACAATATTACATGAGGAAAACTTAGATGGGGATGCTACTGTTTTAGTGGATGAGGAACAAATCTATGAAGCCATGGGCTTCAATGCTGCAGATGAGGGTCCACCAGAGATTACAGTGCCAAAGATTCCTCCTGAGGTGGAAGAAGAAATGGAAGCAACAGCTATCCCTGTTGATGACAATGAAGCAACTGAGCCCTTGTTTTCTATGATAGAGACAATCCTGACATGTTTGTAGGCACACTGTATCCATCAATGTCTGAATTCAGATTGGCAGTTAAGCAACATGCTATAGTCAAAGAGTTTGAGTTGGGCACTGAGAAATCTGATCCTGAAAGGTTTAGAGGATTTTGCAAATCAAAAGGATGCAAGTGGATTATTAGAGCTAGAACTCAGATAGATAACAGTGTCAGCGTATATATTACTAACTATTTTTTGTTCTAGAACATGTCACTGTTTTTTATCTAGTTTAACCTGCTGTTCTGTGGTTTGTATGAAACTTAGTTCATAAATATAGTCTAATGTTGGCTTGTTTGTTTGTTTGCATATACAAATAAACACTAATGTGCATACTTGTGCCTCAAGAAGGATAATTTTGAATAGGATGGCATCCTAGGCATGGATTGCAGAGAGAGCAGTGCCTCTGCTTAAAGACAAGCCTCAGATGGGGGCAAAGGAGCTCAAAGAAGAACTTGAAAAGAAATACAAGATCAACATAAATTACCAGACTTGCCAATGTTATAGATGAGCACAATTGGATGTTCTCAATAGCATTTGGTTTCTTTGATTCTGAGACCAAAGAGAACTGGATTTGGTTCATGGAGCAGTTAGGCAAGGCACTTGGTCCATTAGACAAACTAGGTGTGTGCACAGATGCCTGCAAGGGTCTAGAGGCTGCAGTTAAACAAGTATTCCCAAGGGCAGAGCAGAGGGAATGCTTTAGGCATTTGATGGACAACATGAAGAAAAGGTTTTCTCAAGGGCAGGGCAGTGGTTCATTGTTGGGTCAATACATGTGGCCAACAGCTAGAGCTTACACAGAGGAGAAGTATGAGAGGCTCATGGCCAAGGTTGTTGCAGGTTCAGTAGACATCTTACCTTGTCTAAATGAGCATCACAAGTTACTCTGAGCTAGAAGCAAGTTCTCAGCAGACATTAAGTGTGACTACATAAACAATAATCTTGCTGAGTGCTGGAATGCTTGATCAAACAGCTCAAAGACCTGCCACTGGACTCCCTTGCAGACGCAATTAGGATCAAGATAATGGTCTTGTTTGAGAAAAGAAGGAAGATCTCACTAGCTTTGACTGGTGTCATCCTTCCTGCTGTCATTCACCAGCTAAATGCTACCAGTAAGGGACTAGATCATCTCCAGGTGACTAAAGGGAACCCCCAAGAAGCTGAAGTGACTGTGATGTACAAGGGTGAGGAGATCAGAAGGCATGTTGTCTACCTAGATCTGCAGGAGTGTACATGTAGGGAGTGGCAGGTCAGTGGCAAGCCCTGCCCACATGCCCTTATTGTGATCACCACTGAAAGGCAGCCAGACATGAAAAAGTATGTCAATGGGTACTACTCAGTGAAGAAGTTACATGCAGCTTATGCACTTGTGATACCCAGCATAACTGACAAGCAACAATGGCCTGCAGTTGACAAGGGCTTCAAAGTATTTCCACAAGTGGCCAAGAAAAAGAAAGGACCTAGGAGACAAAGGAAGAATAGGATTCTCAGATATTTAGAGAGGACAGGGAAAGCAACAAGGCAAGTGACATGTAAAAGTTGTGGTGAGCTTGGCCACAGAGCCATCAGCTGGAGGTGTCCACTAATAGGCACAAAAAAAGGTATGTTTCTTTTGCAATTTCATCGGTTATTGTTACACTAATCTATCTAAGTTACTAACACATCATGTATAGGAAGAGGACCAAGAAAACAACCACTAAGTCTTGAAGGAAGAAGCAGAAGCCTAGTGAGGATGAACCAGCAAAGGTGGAAGAGGAAACATCGCCTCCCATCACTAAGGCAGCAACAACAAAGACTACAAGAAAGAAGAAAACTACTGACAAAGAAACAACTAAGGAGGAAGAGGTAGCAACAAAGGAACCTGCAAGGACATAAAGGACCAGAGCAGCAGCAGCAAGGGAGGCAGCAGCTAAGCAAGCACATGAAGGAGCTGTAGGCCAAGCTGTGCAAAAGCACCAGGCAGCAAAAGGTTTGTTGCTTTTATTTACATCAACCAGCCACTAATGTACTGTGAGATGCACAAGCAACTAACTAGTTATTCACTTGCAGGAAGCTGGACTTGGATGAACCAGTGCCACTGGAGATAGTACCTGCAGATGAAGCTACAGCAGTGCAACCAACCAAAAAAATAACCCCATGGAAGAAACAGCTAGCTAGTAAGGTAAGGAAGGCAACACCAACAAAGGCTGATAAGTAAGACATAACCACTGTTTGAATGACTGTTCTTTTATATGTATTTTAGAGACAAAGAACTCCTATGACCAATTATGTTTTCACTGACCTCCAGTTCGTCATCAAACTATTTCATGACACCCCTGTATTACAGATCCCTTAAATTAAGTCCGATCCGATTCAATGGACGGGCTTACTGCTGGTTAAGCATAATCAGACAAAACAGAAACAAGAAAATGCTGTGATTAACCAATTATCTACGTAGTTCGAGACCAAATGATATTCTCCGGCATCAAAATGCTACGCACCCCACGCTATCTATGTACATCTCGAGTTCTTCCGATGGCAATGGCACTGCAGTGAGTCGTCCCCCTGCTCTGCAACTCCACCGTTACCCAGGCTAGAGAGAGCCTAACTTGCAAGACAACCCAACAGTCCTCTACCCAGAGTTCAGCTCTTATAAGCGTGCAATGGCTTCGCAGACTGGTGGGTGTTGGAGGAGTAGATGTCCACGGGTGCACTGGTGCAGTTGCTACTCGAGTCGATGACCCTGGTGTGGCGGCGCTCGCGGTGGCGATCAAGGTAGACCACAACGACGCTGATGTCGTCATGGAAATGCCGTCTCACTCCCCTGTCGATCGTCCTCAGGTCACGGTACCTGACCTCCCTCTTCCTGGTTGCTTCCTTCAAGGCAGCCTTCACCAATCTGTTGGCTATCCCCTGAAAAAGGTTGTGAAGACTTAATTAGTTAGACTGCAAAGGATGTAAGCATAGACAAAGACCTTATAATGAAATGACCAATGAGGATCACTTACAATTCTCGGATTCTTGAAGACAATTTGCACTGCATCATCGTCACTGAGGTGCTCCCATAGACCATCCGAAGCAAATATCAGAAATAGGTCATTTGGTTTCAGCTTGCGTACTTGAACTGATGGTTCAGCACTAAGAGCAGGCCTCTTCAATGGAATAGGGGCGCCAACTTGCCGAAACAAGGGGTCCAAGCTATACTCCGGTTTCTTCAGATAAAAATCACCAATGGATCTTGACACCTGACATTACAACATTCACATGTTAGCTTACTTCTACTTACGTGAAACTTCACATATCACATTCAGAAGTGTTGGCCACTTGGCCAGGTACAATAGTTCGCCAAAGATATATAGAGCAGCTTGCAACACAAAGACGCAGACCACGTGCAGAAGTTGCAAGATCAGGATGCTAAGCTAAGTTGTAATAACTGAAAAGATATTTGGAGAATATCGATCGGAAGATACGCAACGAAAAGATACGATACATAAGTTGATCAAATAATGTGTAGAAATTCATAAGTTAGGTCAGATATATAAAGTAGCTCACGTGCAGGTTACTGTCCCAGGATACTATGCTAAGTTGTGCATACTACGTTGTACACAACTAAAGTCTGAAAAGATATTTAGCATAATAGTGATATCAAGATAGGAAAAGTCAAAAGGTGGAGTGTTCTTTCTTAGAGTGGTTAGAAAAAATCTTCAGTATGATCGAACAGCTTTTAAGTCCTACTGTATATACTAGTAAAACCTTTGTGTTAGTTCCATTTCTGTAATACTGTAATATTTAACCAGTCATAGCATAGATCATCAAAAGCATAGCAATCTACGCTGGGGCATAATTTCTTGACACTGGAGTACAAATCAGGGAACTAGCAGTATAATATAATTTTGTTACAGACTTATAATGCCACCGCGTAATATATTAACTCGCAAACAAACTACTCCAAATTCTAACGCTGACACACCAAGATGCAATCAAAGAAAGATACAGTTTTTAATAAACAAGCAGCCAAGCAGAGATATTTTCCCCAAATTCCACCACAGGCGCACCAAATCAATAGAATGAGACGGCTAACTGATCGCGTTCTCACCTGAATTATCCCTTCACCCTCCACGCCCCTCTGGCGTGCACAACGATTTGCGCGTCGTCGGGGTTGAGCGCGGCGAGCTCATGCCGCACCTCCTCGGACGCCGCGTTGTGCTCGGTGGACAGCCTCTCGGCGACAGCGACCCCGCCGCCGACCACTCGACGGCCGAGCACGGCGCGCGGAGTCACCGACGTTGGCCACGTACAGCGTGTCCCCGGAGATGGCCCCGAGCAGGCAGCATGAGCCCACAGCAGCCAGCCGCGGCCGCTTCGTCCACTCCTGCCTCACCTGCTTATGGAACTCCTCCTCGGCCGCGCCGAACGCGCTCCGAATCGCCTCCGCGCTCATGCCCCCCTGCTCCCTTGCGAAGCCTGCCCATGAAACTCTCAGAATCAGCCAGGAACGATCAAGGCACAGAAAGGAGAAGGCGGATACCAGTAAACAGCAATCAAACGCACGTTGGACATGGGGGAAGAGTCGGGATCGGAGGAACCGGGAGGCGTCGGCCCCGCCGTGTCCGTCGTAGACGCCGACGAGCGTGGCGGCCGGGGAGGCCAGCACCTGCGCCTGGTCCTCCATGGCCAGGTTGGCCTGCGCCGCGGCCATCGAGAACTCCCCCGCCGCGTGCGGCCGCAGCTCCGTCTGCCACAGCATCCCGTCCGCCGCCGCGGCGCCCGGCGGCCAGTGGCCGCAGCACCTCGCCACCGCCCTCAACATCTCTCCTCAGCAGCCGTAAAACTAAATCCGACCTTTCCTCTCTCTCTCTCCACACCCACGAGCGCGAGAGACGACTATCGCTGCTTGTTCTTGGCTTCCCCTCACTCCGTGTGTACTCGAATGGGCTGGTTGGAATCAGGAATGGGGAATTGTTTGGCGGTGGGGTTAGGTTAAGTAGCAGCTCACGAATCACAACGCTTTGGTGCGGTGAAAGCGCGTCAGCGCGTGTGGGGTGGGGTGAGGTGAGGGTGGGGATGAGGCGCGGAGGAGTCTACGGTGGTTATCCCGTGAGGTGTAAGTTCGCTGAGGTGAAAAAAATACTATATTATGATACGATGAAACGAATCGGTTGATTTGACTTGTCGTTCTTGTTTTTTTTTTCCTTCCGTGTCCGGTTTACAAGTTCGGGGAAAATTGTTGGTTCCTGACAGGTGTGTGTGGACGGGGTTTTTGGTGATAGGTTGTTGCATCTATCGCTGCAAGAGAGTAACTTCATGCACTTTTCTATGTGACTGCGTGTGCGTGACTAGGCAGATTGATCCATACAAGAACACGGTAGCTTCATTCCCTATCCTAAACGTCAAATTCCGTGACACATCGACCATGTATATAAGTACTCGTACTTCTTTATAAATCATCCATCCAGTTGCTATACTTTACCACATGCACACATGTCTAATACTGCGTGACATATGGACTACGGAAGATCCTTTTGGTAGCCACCCAAGTGTATCAATTGGAAATAGGAGGGAATCCAAATACTTGGTCATGTTCTTTTCTTTAACCATGTAGCATGAGGTTCATGTATTCAAAGTCTAGGCTCATTAAGAACTTTAGCATGGGCCTCTATTTGGACAACTTGTTGAAACAACTCTGACAATCTAGTACATGTTAATTTTTATTAATCCCAAAATCTAGTCTCGTTCAGTTTGATTCCTTTACAATCCATAATCGACAGTCTTATTCAACTTTTTCAATCCACAATTTATGAGTGCTTTTTTTTTTGCAAACGCCAAGTGATGTAAACGGGCTCTAAAAATATGTGTTCCTAGCTGTTGACAACATGAGCATCCGATTCATCGTCTTGTTTGTTTGGGCTTGTTTGGCTTATAAGACATGGCTGAAAGTACTGTTGGTTGATTTTGTGTGAGAGAAAAATACTGTTAATTGGCTAATAAGAGCATCTCCAAGTGTTCCCTAAATATTCCTCCTAAAAACTCTATGTTTTCCAACTCCTAAAAAGGTATTAGAAGAAAAAAAGAATGCCATCTCCAATAGTTCCTAATACTTCACTTAAAAAAATCAAATTTTGGTCCTTTTTGGGTTTTTTTGTGGTCCTTTTTTTACGTGCGGAACCCTTCGTGCTCGCGCATATGGTACACCGCCGCCGCCTCCTTTCCTTCGTGTTGCCCTAGCCTCGCACCTCCCAGCCGGCGTTGGCCTCCTCCCAGCCGGCCGTGGCCCCTCAACAACCAGATCTAGTGGTTCCAGCAGCTGATGTTGTCCATCTGTGGCTCCACGCAGGGTACGTACGCATGTGGTGCACGACACGGCATCAATGCCGGCCGGCCGCGCTCGCCATTAAATTTAAATCCCATGCACGCACGCATTTCACTTCTTTTTTCAAAGTACCATGGAACCGGTATATAGGAACATATATGCAAGCTACATACAATCTCACAAGCAGCCAGCCAGTAGCAGTTCAGTACCATCAGCAGCCATCAACAGAGCACAGTACCATGCAGCGGCCAACAGCAGAGCACAGGAGCATGCAGGCAGGAAGGCAGCAGGAACCGGCAACCAGCAGGCAGGCAGGCAGGCAGGCAGGCAGCAGGAATCCACACAGAGGCAGCAGCCGGCCATGGCGTAGCACAGAAATGGAGGCCAAGACATCGCCGGCGTGGTACAGACCGTGGAGTTGGAGCTCGTCACCGAGATGGCGAAGTCCAGGCGCAGGCGCGGACCAAGCTCGGCTACGGCCAGAGACGGCCAAGGCAGTTCTAGTGGTGGCGGCCATGGAAAACCTAGTGGCGGCGGCCATGGGAAACCAAGCAGCGGCAGCGGCCGGCACGAAGCCATAGCGGCGGCGGCAGCGCAGCAAGCACACGACCAGATCGAGATGGCCCAGGAATATGACAGCAAACCAGATCGATGATGCCGTACGTACCTCGTCGCTAGCTACGACCACGGCGCCAAGAAAAATTGACGCGGGGAGAAGGATACGCGCAGCCAGAAGAGCGCGTAACTTTCCGCGGACTGCTCGGTTTTTTCCGGTTGCTAAAATTTTAGGAGGAAGTATTATAAGTTGTTGGAGAGATGTTTTTTCTCATCTTTCTAAAAACCAAGTATTAGGAGGTGACTTAGGGAACTCTTGGAGATGCTCTAAGACATGGCTTATAAGTCAAATACGACCTAGCGAACAGGCTGCGTGTCTTCGGTTGTTTTGAGAGCACAAGGACACTTCCTGATGAATGCATGGACGGCATTATTGTTCCTTCAATGTTAATTTTCTTTTAGAATGCGTACGATCTAAACTTGCATTAAATGATTTGTATAGGGTTTGAAAAATCGGAAATTAGCTAGCATATGTGCTAATACAATGATATGGCGATCAGGCGATACGGCAACAAGGGCGGTACCACGTTGTTGAACGCAAAATACGGTGAATGATTTTCTAACCCGTACTGTAGACTGTAGTCTGTAGTACGAACAACAGCTTGGACGTGTGCAAAAGCTGTGTGGTGGCAACGGCGGACACATGGTCCCCGGGAACTGACCGGAGGCATAGAAGGCGGACTTTTTGCGATGCATGGCAGCTCTCTGCGTACGAGCACGGCCACAGCCACAGAGTGAGGTGGAGTAGACGCACAGGAGATCCGTAGAAAAATATGTACTAACATATGTTCACTTGATACTAGTCGTGATATAATATTTTTTTTCTTACAATAAAACAGTATCAGCCAACGTATAAACCACGTAAACGATCAAACGAACCGTTATAACGCCCGTAGACCACTCTTCACACGAGAGGAGGGCTTTGATGGTAGCCTGGCACGGCTGCAATAAACAAACCGCCCGCGGCTGGTCTTCCAGAAAAACCGGCGAGTGATGATCATCCCGGGACAGCTGTGATGATGATAAGCGGACTTTCTTGCGCCGCCCCGTTGATAGCTGCGTCGGCGGCAGATAACCGTATCCGGGTTCCGGGAGCGGACGCCGAGGAGGGAGGCCGGCAACTGTACATGCGCGCGCCGATGCTTCCAGAAAAAGGCAAAGCGGCAGCAGAAAGATCAAAGCTGACGCGACGCGTGGGGATGCTGCTGTTGCTGCCCCGTGACGGCGGCCAGCCGGTCCATATTTTTTACAATTGGGCCCCTTTTTTTAAGTTTGACCTCTGCTGGAAAGAATTCGCTTGGCACCAGCACTCAGGCGCTGAGCTCCTGGCCACGAGTCGTGACCTGCCAGAGGCCTCAGCGTCAGAGTGACTGCCAGGAGCTCGGCGCCAGAGTGACTGGCGCCGAGTTGGCGTCGAGCTCGGAAATATCTGCCGAGCCGCGACTTTCCTTTTTTTTCTTCTCCCTCTCTCGCCCTAGCCGAGCAGTGCCGCCGTCGCCGTCCTTGCCCGCGCCCGCGCCCTTGCCCCCGCCGCGCCGCGCCCGCGGCCGCGGCCGCCACCGTGCCCACGCGCGCGCCCCGAGGCCGCCCCCCACCACGCGCCACGCCCCTCACCGCGGCTTGCTGGACGCCCCTCGCCGCGCCGCGCCCCGCACCGCACTGTTGCCCGTGGTTGGTCGCCGCGCCGCCTCCACCGCGGTCCTCGCCTTGCCCTCCACCGTCGGCCTCGGCCGTGGCCCGCCTTGCCGCCCTCCACCGCCGGCTTCGCCCCGCCTTGCCGCCCTCCACCATCGGCGTGCCTCCCGTGCCCGTCGAGCCGGCGTGCCCCGGGCATCCCGCGCCCACCGCGCTCCACCGCTGTCGTTGGCCACCGGCCCAGAACTTTGGCCTGACCCACGCCCATCCTCCACCGGCCCGGAAAGGTAAAAATTATGAATATATAATGTACCTACTTAGTTGCCATATGTTATTTATTAGTTAATGTGATGACTGATGTAGTTGATTTAGTTAGTGATCTAGTGAGATATATATGTAGATAGATAGAAATATAGACACATAGGCACAGAGATATAGTTAGATAGGTACTTAGATATGTAGTTATATTTTTAGTTATGTACATATGATCTAGCTATTTAGTAAGTACACTGTAAATATATACGTAGTTATTATCTTGAATACTTAGTTTGTAGTTAGAAAGTACTTGTTAGGTACTATTTATCGTCTAATTTGGACTAAATGACATGTGTTTCATTACGTGTTTGAATTAGATGGACAACCTAGTGACCATATATCATGGAGGCACCGTTGAAAGAGATCGCTATGGATATGTTGAGTTTCTTGACATGCAAAGCGTGCATGTGCTATTCAATGATAGGCCTTCATTTAGTGAAATGATTGCAAGGGCTCGGGAGGAGCTGCATTGCCTTGGAGAGGATGGCATTGCAGTTGATGGTGTACTGCACCTAGGTTGTCCTCCAAACATCTTCAGGCGAATGATCTTAATTGGTTGTGCGGATCAGTGGGAGAACTATGTAAGATCGGCTATGAAGAGCCAGCTGCAATGTTTGGACGTGGTTGTGCGTCGAGTGTTAGTTGACCCCATCCCTCATGGGTTTACCCCAGCAATGGATCATCAGGCATACATCGACCCTCCCGTTCCGGAACCTTACCTGCATGTGCAGATTGCACCTACGGTTCCCGATGCTCAATCTGCCCCCAATGCGGTATTTGGAGATGGTTGTTAGACTCATTTTTCCGTGGCAGATCCTCCTTATGAGATCCCTTTGACACAGAATCATCCGAGTAAGTGTCTTAACCGCATATTTTTTGGGAGCTTACCCCGTTCCTTACATCTATTTCTTTCATTCTTTCCTCATTTCTGTAATGATGTTGCAGGAGACATTCCTGAGAATGTGGATGTGCCCCTGTTGTTGCGCAAGTACACTTTGGAGATGGATTTCGTGGGTCAAATAGTGTTGAAATTATACATGATTCGGAGCCATATGAGATGGCTAGGGCTCTTGATTCCGATGATGATCGCCCTGTTGGAGAGCTGACGGAGAATGATGTTGAGATGATGAGGCGTATCTTTCCCGGCCGCCGTGATCCTAGAGTTCACGAGTTCAGCGATCTTGCTCATTCCGATCAGGCGTTTGTAGAAGGACGTGATGATGAGCTCCTAGAAGCTCCTGAGGCTGGTCCTAACATGGTAATTGAGAATGGGAGGGTGTTCAATGACCTCCCTGCTTTGAAGAGGTGGTTGCAGGCTTTTGCAGTGATACGAAAGAGGCCTTATAGGGTATTGCATTCATATACGGAGCGTCGTTACACAGTTGTGTGTGACAAGGAACGCTGCCCATGAAGGGTTTGTGCAAGGAAGCAACAGGTAACCAGAAAATGGAAGATCACAAAAGGTGAGGACAATTATCCGGACCGTTGAAGCGTTGTATGGAGGATATGTAATAACTTATGGTAAAGCATAGAGGGCTAAGCAGCGAGCGTGGAAGATGATTTATGGGGACTGGGAGGATGGGTATGAGCAGCTGCCAGTTCTTTTCAATGCAATCAAAGTGGTGAATCTAGACATGCATTATGAGTACATCCCAAAACCTAATGCATGGAAGGATAGGAGGTAGATATTCTTCCGTGCCTTCTGGTGCTTCCCTCAGTGTGTCGAGGCCTTTAGGCACTGTCGTCCCGTCTTCTCCATTGATGGTACGTTCTTGATTGGCAAATACCAGGGCACATGTCTTATAGCCATATCCTGTGACGCGAACAACAAGTTGGTTCCCTTGGCATTTGCCTTGGTTGAGAAGGAGAACAATGACAGTTGGGGATGGTTCTTGAGGCTAGTCCGGATACACGTGGTTGGGCCTGGCAGGGAGGTTGGCGTCATATCTGATAGGCATCAGGTCATACTTAATGTCGTGCGAGAGCAGATAGAGGGATATGCATCGTTGCACCATCGTTGGTGTACTCGGCACCTTGCTGAGAATCTACTCCGGAAGGATGGTGTCAAGGGTAACTTTGATCTGTTTTAGGAGGCTGCTCGACAACTTAAGGACAAGTACTTTAAGGAAAAGTTAGAGCAGGTCAGAATCGCATCAAATGCAGAAGATAGACAATGGCTCACAGATTTGATGAGGGATTTGGAGAAATGGACGAGAGCTCACGACGTCGGTGGCTGGAGGTACGAGTTTCAGTGCAGCAACATGGCAGAGTCATTCAATAAGTTGCTATTAGGGATATGTGGTATGCCCGTGAATGCAATCGTTCAATTCACCTTCTATAAGCTTGTTGCCTGGTTCAACGATAGACACGCCCATGAATTGCAGTTGCCGAGTGATGGAGAGATATGGGCTCCGAAACTAAAGGCACACCTAGAGAAGGCAAGAGAAAGGGCTGGCACACATGAGGTTGCATGCTTTGACCACGCAACAGGGACTTATCAGGTCGAGCATAGGGGCGATACAACATCTGACGGCGAGGTCCGAGAGTCGAGGATACATGTGGTTGTCCTCCAAGATTTCAAGTGCACTTGTGGTAAACCAAGGCAGTACCACTTTGCATGTTCTCATTTGGTGGCAGCAGCTAGGCATCGCAACTATAATATCGAGAGGAGGATACCGCACGAGTTCGGTGTCGACACGCTTGTAAACACATGGAGCCCCCGCTTCATGCCTTTCCGAGACCCTGGAGAGTGGCCTCCATATGATGGGCCGAAGTACATTGCGGATCTAGCCTACCATTGGAACAAGCGTGGATCAAGGCAGAGGACGAGGCGCAGGATGGTTATGGATCAGATACCCGGAAGAACTAGGCGTGGGAGAGAAACTCCATTTGTTACTGATCCAGAGCAGTACGAGTGCGGCAAGTGCGGTAGACTTGGCCACAACTCACGAAGTTGCCTTTGGCAGATTAGTGAGGTAGGACTATTGGTTTATATTATTATTTTATATTTGTCGTACTCATATATTTAATTATGCATGTCTCAATTTATGCTTGTATTTGTGTCAATTACTTATACATTTCTAAGTTCAT